TCTCTCTCTCCCTCTCCCCCCCTCTCTCTCTGACTCTCTCTCTCTCACACACACACGCGTGTAGCGTGCACACATACACACAAAGTACACACGCGCGTCGTAAGGTAAATGACGACACTATTGTGTCTACAGTGGCTACCTCTCCTAAAAGTTTACCTTCTAATTTCCTATCAAATATTATATCTTATTTTATGTCCCCTTTTCTTTGTTAATTACTCTCTAGTAACACGCTAATTTTTGCACCTCTCTATATGAACCATAGAGTTGATATGAACCTATGTGTGCTGCAAGTGTCATAAAACTTTCACTGAATCTTTAATTAAAGAAATGCATACTCAGCGTGCATGTGCAAATTACCTTTGTAATGAATAAGTGTTTTATTGTTATTGCTATTATTAGATCATTATATTAATGTACTATTGGCTTATAGAATCTAGGCAGTCTCTCTCTCTCTCTCTCTCTCTCTCTCTCTCTCTCTCTCTTTCTCTCTCTATCAATCTCGGTGGATCCTATCTCCCTTATCCCCCGCCAACCCCTACGTTCTTATACTGACCGTCTAGCCCTATCCAACCCCCATCGAAGGGCTATCGTTATCGTGATGTTTGTCTGATTTGTCTATCACCCTCTGCCTAGTCTGCCATAAACGACAAGAGACACTACACCAGTCTCTCCTTGGCTGTGGCTGTAAGCGTCACTGGTTGGTCTCCGTTTTCTGCTCCTTTTGATCCCCAGTGTTATCCCATTATATTTGTCTACACCTGCCTTTCTTTTCCTCGCTCTTAATGACCGTTGTAGTGTTGACATGCTTAAATTTACTCACATTATCATCTTTTTTTTGGTGCTTTGTCGACTATCTGGAGCCATGGTATTGTTGAATGGAAGAGGCTCGCCCGTACTTTTAAATGACAGCTAGGCTGGCAGGTTAGCCGTACTTTAATTACGGCTAGGTTAGCCGTACCCGGTACTTAATAATGATGGCTAGACTGACAAAAAGCAAACAATACTGAACTGTAGAGATCTAAATAAAATTGTATTTGAGACGAAACCAAAATATGCGTTACTAACAGTGCATGTATTTTAAACCTGAATCATTACTAATGAGACCTGTGTACTCAACAGGTTTCGGTGAATATAAGGTGGAAGTACGGCTAGACTGACAGGCTAGCGGTTAGCGACTTCGTTACTCGTATTATCTTCCTTTTTGTGTTGTTGACAATTCTACAGCCATGATATTGTTGAATACCAAATTCATTTCCTTCTTTCGATAACTCTGCATGACGCATTTGGGGCAGTGTGTGGTTGTTTGCGTGTATCTTTGTGTGTGTGTGTGTGTGTGTGTGTGTGTGTGTGTGTGTGAGAGAGAGAGAGAGAGAGAGAGAGTGTGTCTATGATTAAAAGGAGTGAGGGCGAGAAGATAATAGAAAGACAGAACGAGATAAAGAGAGGGGTGAGAGACCGGGAACGGGATAAAATACGGACACATA